GCACGGACGTCGAATGAATGGGCAGAGCTGGCCGTGGGCGAGGAGCGGCCCGGGCGCTGCGCTGTGCAGCCAGCAACAAAGGCCCGACCCCAGGGCTGCGCGGAGTGCGAGGAGGGCAGCGTTCGCCCTGTGACCTGGGAGACCCCACGCAGCTACCACGAATTTGTACTCCAAGTCTCACCCCAGTTCTACCGTCAGTGCCAGGTGATCTGGAGAAATGTAGGAATCAACACTACAGAAGACAAAAAGAAACGTTCTCATTTTTCGTTTCTTTTTAAATATTAACTCTTAGATGTACTCTTACAAAAACAAGTGGTGTTTAATAATTTATACTGGCAAATATTGAATTTAATCCTACTTGTGATAAAGGAGCCAACTAACCCATTTCTAGTTGTATAGAAATGCAAATGACCAAATAACTATTTAATTTCTATTCCTTTTTTAAAAATTAGTCCCATGCTTGCTCTGCTTCTAAGTAAATATAACTCTTAAAAATGACGGTGTCCGAAATGTGACTAAGACTGGATGGAGTTCCTAGAGGAAGTTTACTTCCAAACTACATTGTTCTGTGCGCAGTTAGCATACAGTTTTAGGTCTTTAATTCCCCGATCGGACTCCCAAGGAAATTAAAAGGTACAGTAATGCCTGTGTTGAACTAAATCTCATTAAAGACTTACTTTTCTTAAAATTGGCCTTTAGCTTTATGAGGAAAAGAAAGGTCAATGATTTTGGAGTGATTTTCTATCTGTGAAGGAGCTGTGTTCAAATTTTCAACTGGAGTCCCTGTCGATTAAGTTGAACTCTAAATTTGTTTCTTTATGGGTCAAAACTTGGAATACAGTTTTCAGAATGGTTCAAAGTACATTGTCCCCATAACAATTTATAGATAATAATGGTAGTGGAGATTTCCTGCCTAAGTTGGTATGTTGTCAATTTCTTCCGGCCCAAGGTCCTAGGAAATAGGTAATTAATAACCACCACGTTTATAAATGAGAAACCTGAGGTAACGGGCAGGTATAGACATTGGCTTGCTGCTGACTACCAGTCTGACCTTTGAAGCATAATGAAACAGACAAAAGATTTTAAGAGGCATGGTTTGGCATTTTAACAGCCTAGGGAAGAAGTCCTAGATGCCTACTTCACCCATCATCGCTATCTCTTTATGGCTAAGTTCCCAAAACATATCTTCAACTCATATGATTAGTTTGCTCTCTCAAGACTTTCAGCCTCAACTTGCAACGTTAAAGACTGACAACACCTCACCTCTTGGAGAAATCCCCAACCCTTTCTTTCAATCACTGAGTCCCATGAATTCTTACCTCAGAACCTCTCTCACCAACCCCTACTTCACCTTTCTATATGTACCCCACTCAAATTACCCATGGATCCCACTGCTTCCAGTATCTCTCCCTGGAACTTTCATTCCATTAAGAAATGTCTGGGGGCGGGGGGGATTTAGCTCAGTGGTTCCACCGCCTGCCTCCCAAGCACAAAGACCTGTGTTTGATCCCTGGTACAAAAAACAAAAAGGAAGAAAGAAATGTCTGTGGCACACTTACTGTGTGCCAGACACTATATGCTAGTTATAAGGTATTAAGATACAAGATAATCTATATGTAGTCCTCAAATTCTTTGATACTTCTCCCTTCCCTTCAAGAAGTGGCAATTCATTCCCTTTCCAGTAAGTGTGGGTTGGAGTTAGTGGCTCGCTGCTAACACATTGAGTATGGCATAAATGATGACTGTTGTGGATTGTATTTGGATGTCCCCCCTCAAGCCTCCTGTGATCTTAGGTGGGGCTTTTTCAGAGGTGGCTGGATCTAGAGTGTGTGATGGTAGAATTGATTCATGGTGCAATGCTGGGCTCAAGGGCACTAGGATTAAGGGTGTGAGTGCTACCTGCCCTAAGTAGTCTGGATAAGATAAAAGGGGCTGAAAGACTCTGTTAAGGTCCCTTTGTTGCTTTTGCTGTCTTCTGCGTGCAATGAACTGTTTCTCCTGTGACACCTCCTGCCATGTATCACTTGCCTTGGAGCCAGCCACCTAAGGACTGAAACCTGTACAAACTGTGAGCTAAATAAACCTTTCCCCTTTAAATTTGGCTGTTAGGTATTTTGTCTCAGCAACAAGAGAAAAGTAAGACAGTGATTTCCAAGACTATGCTACAAAAGGCATTTGGAGTTTCTTTCTTTCTTGTGGATCACTGGGGAAAGCCATGTGCCACATTGTGAGAATACTTCTGTGGAAGGGTTCACATAGCAAGAGGTGAGGCCTCCTGTCAACAGCCTTCACCAATTCACTACATATGAGAGGGAGGCGATTTACAAGCGGTTTCCAGCCCCCGGAAGCCTTCAGATGACCAGCCCAGACTGATCCTTGACATCTTCTGACACTACACAGAAAAAACCAGGTGTAAGCTACTCCCCGATTCCTGACCCATGGCAACCGTGAGATAATAAATATTTGCTGTTTTAAACCACTAAATCTTATGTTTTGATATGTAGTAAGAGGAAGTTAATACACAGTGATGGAGCTTGTAATATTTTCACAGAAACAAAGACAATTTAGTGCAATGATGGTGACTCTAGTAACAGATGTGTGGGGCTGGGGATTTAGCTCAGTGGTTCCACCCACCTTCCTTGAAAGCGCAGGGACCTGAGTTCGATACCCAGTACCAAAAAAGTTAAACAAAAAAAGATGTACCCTGCAAGTACAAAGAAAAGTCAATTCTCTCTGATGTGTAAGGAAGAGGACATTTGGGCTGGGCCTTTATCTGACAGATTTTGCTAAGAAAACAGAATTTGGAGAGATAGATGGAACCAGATTGTAATGAGTTTTGAATACCATCATAAGAAATACGACTTTATTCTAAAGCAATGGGAAGGAATAGAGTATTTTATTAGCTCTGACTTTGGAGGAAAACTATCAGGAATGTGGAAGATCACTTTGATTTAAGTACAATGATGTCAACAAGATCACTTGGGAAACTATTACAGCAGTTCAGCAAAGAAATGAGCACTTCTCACCGGGTGTGGTGGCGCACGCCTGTAATACCAGCACTCAGAAGGCTGAGGCAGGTGTATCATTGTGACTTCGAGACCAGCCTGGGGTACATAAGTGAGTTCCAGGTCCGTCTCAACTACATAGTGAGACCCTGTTTCAAAAAAACCAAAAAAAAAAAGAGCACTTCTCATAGAAGTGATGGCTGGGTGTGGTAGTACATGCCTGTGATCCCAGCTTTCAGGAGGCTGAGGAAGGAGCATTGCTGTGACTCTGAGGTTACCCTGAACTACCTAGCGAGATCCCTTCTAAAAAAAAAAAAGTCTTAAGAATAAAAGATAATTGTATTATTTTAGACATTTCAAGGATTAATTAGACAATTAGGTTTGATGACTGCTTAAAAAAGGGAATTGAATGAAATAAAAATTTTAGGATAGGATGATATAAATGATGGTGGGAACACTAAAAAAAAAGTGTTTGTGGGGTTGGGGAGTTAGCTCAGGGGCACTGCGTCTGCCTCACAAGCACAAAGTCATGAGTTCAATCCCAGCACCACCTCCCCCCCAAAAAAAAACCCAAGTGTGTGTGTGTGTGTGTGTGTGTGTGTGTGTGTGTGTGTGATGGGGGAGGGGAATTGGCTTTAAACAAGCTGGAATTGCTGGTGTGGTAGTGCGTGCCTGTAAACCCAGCACTTGGGAGGCTGAGGCAGGAGAATTACCATGAATTTGAGGCCTGTGTTGGATACATAATGAGTTTAAGGCCAGCCTGAACAGCATAGAGAGATCCCATCTCAAACAACAAAAAGCAAAACAAACAAAAAAACAAGCTGAGGTTGAGGAGTCACAGAACATTCAAATCCATATTGGACAATTTAGTTGGAAACTGTTGGGGAGGGAAAATCAGAACTAAAGCTATTTATGGCTCCTCTTCAGTGTGACTGTTGAAGCTATAACTAAGTGTTCCTAGGTGAGAGAAAAAGCCTGAGGTTAGCATAATCCTAGTGAATGCTAACACTCAGAAGGGAGAGAAAGAGGAGAAAGGAAGAAAGAGTGGGTGGAAAAGCCATGACACAGGGATTATAGAAGGGAGAGTTGAATCAGACAGGACAAAAATAAGAGAAACCTCCTAGATTCATCCCCCAATGGCTTTTATTTTATTTATTTTATTTTATTTTTAGTCAAGGGCATGCTTTGTTCCAGGCTGACCCCAAACTCTTGATCCTCCTACCTTAGCCTCCCAAGTGCTGGAATTATAGACGTG